ATAACGCACACACCCGCCCAAATTAATTCTCGACGATCACGCGATCTGACGAGATCAAGCGATTGCGCTCAACGTCACTAGCATCCAATGCACCGTTCACTGGGCGGCGCTTGGGATGGATCCCACGCAGAGTGTTGTCAATACCAATGTACCCCATGTCAACGAGGCACGCCCATTGCTCTCTATACTGCGCAGAGAGCTCACCGTGGTCAAGCAACAACATATCTTGCTGGTTCTTCATCAGCATCGCCTTGTGCACTTCTTGACGCGAATGCATGATGGTAAAATTGTGCACGGAACCAGGGTGCGATTCCGACATTGCCACGCAACGACCGTTCGGTAACACTGTGGCCTCGATCTTGTAGCCGTACATGCCGTGCTTCCCACCACTGTACTGTAGTAGTGCTTCTGCTCGGCAAAGCGGCCAGTCGGAAGAAGAGATGGTTGGAACTTGACATCCACCGCGTACAATGCGTACGGATGGTGCTCGAATTGGTGTCGTGACTCGCGAAGACTTTGCATAGATTGGGCGACAATGAAATGGTCGTACACCACAGGTTGAACCACCTACATGAGCACATTAGTATAGGTACGGTAAGGAGAGGATACCACAATGACACGCATGATGAGCTTCTCGAACGTTGGGGCCTTGTATCCAAAGTCGGCAGCATGCTTGTCCCACGAGCTGAAGTGCTTAAGCACAACCAGTGTCATGAATAGGCTGTCCTTTGGGCTTGTCAAGGATCGTCGTCCTCGCCCTTCCATCCACGCCGAATGCATTACCGTGTCGACGACAGACCACAAGGTCTCAAACTCACTTGCAGTGGAGTTCGTCATGGTGCGAGCACTGTCTGAGCCGAGTTCGTCATGGTGCGAACACTGTCTGAGCCCAAGTCAGAGATGAAACGATCAAAGATAGGATTGTTGGATACTTCGTCTCTCTCAGAGACAGCACCAGCGATATCACCGAACTCGTCGTAGGAGGACTGAAGGAAAGATTGGTCCCGAATGGATTGATCTTGTAAGCGGCTCAGAACGGCGTTGGCGTTGATGGGCATATCACTCGAGAGGAGAATTGGAAAGTGGTGTTAGTGAAGTGACTAAACGAAGTCGGTGACGAGGGAGTTTGTTGTATTGGTTGTGAATTTGGCGGCAAAGTTGTTGAGATGCCGAGAAGTTTACGCATTATACCTGATATTCGGTTAATCAATCAGGTTTTATCGAATCTCCTTCCTTATATAGTAAAATGTTCACCCTGTCTTTACATCAAATCAACTTATCAAAGATAATGTTTGAGTTTTACAGTGCTCAAACTATTTACCTAAAAATTGCGTTTATATCGACGCCATCAGTGCGGTGACAGTCAGAGGAGAACTTGGACAGCACTCGGCGTGCAGGTCAGGTATCGACGTGATACTTTGGGGGTGTACCTACTTTCATCGTTTAGATGCTTGGACCTAGTTTCATGAGCACACGTCAACGCAATATCGCCGAAAGCAAGGC